GCCCACTCCATCTGTCCTCATCTGCTCCACCTTGCCTCTCCCTGCCCTCTGGCAGCCATTGGTCTCCCATCTCCTCTGCCACCAGACTGAGCACCAGGAAGGTAGGCTCAGGTCAGTCCTGTTCCCACTGAAGCCAATGCCCAGAACAGAACCTGGCACTGAACAGAGAGAACATTGACTCCACCAGCCCTTACTTCTGGGGCCAGGGTCTTTATGCCCAAGGGAAGCTCTTGCATCTGGACATGGACTTCGTGGATGACAGTGCCCTTGGCATCTGTCACCAGGTGAATCACAGGCGATGTCTCCATGGGCTCGCTTGTCACCGATGACGATGTAACGGTCCCCACAGGGGAGGCGCTAGACCCTTTAAGGCAGAACCAAGAGAGTCCTTAAAGAAAACCCCCTGCAGCTCCAGAACCAGGATAGCAAGCCCTCACCACACTGACCTGCAGGTGCATCTTCTTTGCCTATGACCACGTCCTTGCTCATGCTGAAGCGGATTTTTTCTGTGCACGGGGTGAGAGACTTGAGGTGCCGGGTCAGTGCACCCGACTCTCGGAAGCTCTTTCCACACTTGGCACACTTATAGGGGCGCTCATCTGTGCAGAAAATGGAGTCAGCCTCAGGTGGGGAAGGCAGGCCTGGAACCACAGCTTCGCCGGCTTGCCAGGAGGCAGGGATGCCCCAGGCCAGCTCACCTGTGTGCCGCCGGTGGTGTCGGATGAGTGAGCCCTTGGTCCGGAAGGAGGCCCCACACAGCTTGCATTCGTGGTCCTTGCGGCTGCTGTGGGTGACCATGTGAGCCTTGAGGATGCTGCCCTGTGGGGGTGGGGAGGATGCAGCTCAGAAACCTCCCTGGGCAGGAGGCCTGGCTCTCCTAGCTGGCATGGCCCGAGGCCCCCGGCTCACCGTCTTGAAGGTCTTGTGACACAGCGCACATACATAGCGACCGTCCTCATTCACCAGCAGCTTAACCTGGGCCTGCTCACCCTGCCCAGCCATCCTGGGTCCCTGATGGCCAGGGCTGTCTGGGACCTCTGCCATCTCACTGTCGCCTGGCTCCGGCTCAGCAGCCACAATGACCTCTTTGATGTGTCCACTGCCTGAAGAGAAGCAGGTCAGCCTGAGCCTTGGGATACCATGGGACCTGCCGCCTCTTGGACCCCAGCCCAGGAATACTGCTGGTGGAGGAGCAGTGGAGCTGCCCAGCCCCCAAAATGTGTCCAGTGGGGAGACCATGGCAAGGAGAGGCCCCCTCCCTTAAGCCAAGAAGAGCATAGGACAGGATGTGTACAGGGATCCTGCCACCTCTAAGGGTAATGGAGTGCCTGGCATAGAGACAGTGGCCAGGCCAGCCTAGCTCACTGCCATCTGCCTTGCTCACTGCCCCAGCTCCCGCTAACATATGGAGAAAATGCCTCCAAGGTCGCCTGCTGGAGTCTGTTTTGATGCAGGCAGGCGAGGGACCCAGCTGGGCAAGTGAATGCTCTTGAGACACCTGGGACAGTTTGAGGAAGAAAGTTGGGCTTTTGCTCCTCTTGTGGGTGTTGAAGAAATCTGACAACGTGCAAAGCTAAGCTGTAAACACACTTCACAATTTCTGCTCATATGACAGTAGAAAATGGTTCACTTCTTAGAAGCCTTCTCAATCAAACAGGCACCATGTTTTGACAAGCCATTCTCTCCAAACATGAGAGAATGGCTTGTCTCCAAAAACAATCCAGGGCATGTCTCACCCAAGCTCTAGCTGGCATGCCTCACACTTTATCTTTCCTCCGCCCCAGAAGGGAACTTCCAAAGAGACAGGGACTTGAATTTGAGTATGACACAGTAGACCAAGGGGTCAAGGAAGGGGAAATAAATGAAATCCAAGTTTCCTGGGAAGAGGCAAGAGTGGGTATCTAGCCCCCACGTAGCTCCAGCAGCCCCTGCTGACTATGTCCCCAGCCCAGTGAGAACAGGGAACCCTCAGCCCTGGGACACCGGCAGCTGGCAGTTTAGGGCACTGGTCAACCATGGACTCCGAAACACTAAGCAGCTAACACCCAGGGGACATTTGGGACACCCAGGATGCCTGCAAAGGAGGAAACTCCCAAAAGTGTGAGAGAAGCAGGAGGTGCCCAGAGAGAAACTCCTAGAGCTGCTGCTGAGCCATGAGCGTGAGCCACTTAGAGGTTGGGATGGTGGGAAGGGGCCTGGATGGCCAGAGGTCTGGAGCCTGTTGATGCAGCCCAAACCCAGGGAACCTGTTTTCCTATATGACATCACCCACACCAGAAACCAAATGCCATGCCAGGGCTGGAGCATAGCCCCACCTCCCACATCACAACATTCCTATCCCAGAGTAGCACCAGGTAAATATCCTTGTCCACTGGAATGTCAGGGGGAAAGAGCATGGAGACGAGGATAGGTGTCCTGCCACCTCCTTGAGGTGGGACCCTGGCAGAACAGTCTGAACGGAGATTCCTGTCCCCCAAGTCTCTTCCACCCCTTCTTCCTGCCCCAGTTGATCCCAAGGGCTTCCCAAGGCCAAGTTCTACCTGTTGCTCAAACCTGCTTCCTGTCCAGCTGCCCAGTCCACTCATGCACCTGCCAAAGCCCCTGCCCAATGTAATTATCAACAGGCCCCCCGCCAGGTAACTACTGTTCCCTTCCAAACTTCCCAGGGCATCAGTCCAACCCAGCCTCCCACCATTGCCTTGCGCACACCCAGCCTCTGGCCCCCTCCAACTGCCCTAGCCCCAGGCTGCCCTTTGAAAATTCCCCCATGCATGCTGGCTTGTCCCAGATTAATAAGCGTGACCTAATCCAGACCTCTCGACATCACCTCCCCTACTGCACATCAGAATGCATTTTAACTTTTAAAAAGTCATCAGAGAAGCTGACCTGGCGTTGTATGCTCATAAAAGCCTTGTGAGAATCAGGGCAGGAAATGTCACACCCCTGCAGGAGGGAGTGAGCATTGGGGAGATGAAGGCCAAGGTCAGGCGTCAGGTCAGGGCCGAGCTGGAACAGCAGGTGCATCCCATGCACGCCCCACCCCGACCCTCCAGAGCCAAATGTGGGGCGGGGAACAGGAACCAAGGAAGTGGCAGAAAAGCAGAGAAGATTCTGGAAGGACCAGGTCAGAGACAGTCTAAGGAAGCAGCAGGAGAGCAGCCAGCTTGTGATAGTGCACAAAGTGAAGACTCCCCAAGGCCCAGGTGGGCCCTAGAGCTGCCCGGGCCACATGCTTCCCCTTTCCTGGCCGGGCAATGCCTAGTATCCAATGCTCAATACTCCTGCAGGCCTTACCCTGAAGAAGGTGAGCACAGGCCCTCAGCCCCTGGGGCAGGCCTTGCTCTCAGGAGAGCAGAGAGGCAAGGGCAGCAGAGGTCCCCAGCCTCCATCCCTGAACACAAATGGCTACCAGGTCAGCGACACCTCAGCACTGAGAGACATGAGGTGACAGCCCTAGTAGGGCAGTGCCAGCTTACCAACGATGTCAGATGTGTGGCTGATGTCTGCTGTTAGAGTAGCTGCCTCCACAACAATGTGGGCCACAGTGATGGGCTCCTCTGGGCTTGCCGCCGCTGGGACCACCTACCAGTGGGGTAGAGGGAAGGGAGGAGACTCATCTGCAGGGTTCCTGAGCAACCTTGGCTTGGCAAGTACAGGCTTGGGTGTAAGTCCATGGGGAATGGCTGGGCAGGAGCTCTCAGCTCCCCCATCAGGATCACCGATCTAAATCCAACTCCCAGCCTGGCCCAGGGGATCAGCCCCATCATTCTAATGCCTCCGGCCACTGAGGAGTGTGGAACATCAAGTGTCCTTGGGGAAGACTCCAGAAGGAAGTGACCAGAGCTCCAGCTGGCTATGTGGAGATGAAGATGAGTACCTACACCCATCAACCCCAGCCAGGGGGTCAGGGAAAAGGGCCTGGGGCTGTGGGGCCAGAGGCCTTCCTGGAGGAGAAGGTACCTCCGGGAGGCAGGTAAAGAGCACAAAATCAGAGTGAGACAACTCTGGGCCCACTGCTCTCTGGGCCACTCCCTGTGGTGACCTGAGGCAATGGACTTCTCTCAGAGCCTCCTTTCCTACAAGGAGGATGACAAGAATGCCCACTATGCAGGAGCACTTATAGACATTAATTGTGTGTGTACAGCCCCAAGCATGCATGGGATGCAACAAAGTTGGCCATTATTATGAAGGGGTAGAGGGACCCACAGAGTCATATTTTGTTGTGGGATCCCCAGGAACTGTGTGTACAGGATAGAAGACAGGCCAAAAGGACAAAAGCCACCATTGGGCTCCAAGAAGAGGGACCCAGGTCCCCAGCTACACAGGCTTTGGCCAGAGGCTACTGAGAAGAAGGCCAGGCCATGCAGGAAACCCCAGAGCACCACCAGGCTCTTGGTGGCAGGGCCCAGACCCTCCTTCACCAACAACCTGTCCCCATGTCACAGGGAACCAGCTGCACAAGTCTGTCCCAGCATGCCACCACCACCTCCTCCTGCTGTCAAGTGAGCTCAGGGAGGAGGGGAACATGTGTGTGAGAGAGAGAGAGATGGCAGTTGGAAAGCAAGCTCACCTCCTGGCCCAGCAGCGCAGCAGCTGAAGGGCTGGCAGGCAGGGCCTCCTGAGGAACCCGTTGGCAAACCTTCTGGAGCTTGTGCTGAACAAAGTCCTCCAGGGTGGTGAACTCCGCCTGGCAGCGGCCACATCTGTGCACATCGTCCTCATCTATAACAAGCCTGCAGTCAGTGGAGCTTGGGAGGCTAAATCTACCCAAGGGTGGCATCAGAACCAGAGGTGCCTTCCCCAGCCCTCCCAGAGGGGCCAAGAACACTCTCAGGGGCCTAGGGTGCCAGCCCCCATCCTCTGGAGATCTGCAGAAACAGTGCATAGCCCAAGGAGAGCAACATCCAGGATGGGGGGAGGGGTGCTCGTGCCCACAGGGTTCTGGCTGAGAGGCTGCCCTGTGGCAAACACGGGAGAGGGGGTGCCCTGACTCATGACCATTCTTTTTTAACTCTAATTTTGTGCTTCCTTGGTTCCAAACAGGCAGCACCTCCAGCTCAGGGTGAAACTTTTCAAAAGGGCTCCACAACTCAGGGCCATCGCACTTGAGCCCCTCACCATCTGGGCTGACCAGCCAGTGTCTGCCTCAGGTCCAGCAGGAGAGACCTCCTGCTCACTGAGTCCCTACTGCGTGCCAGGCACCTCACTGGGAACATCACCAAATCCGGCCAGCACCCTGGAAAAATGGAGATGACTATTCCCACTCTAGAAAAACAACTTGAGATTCAAGGACACCCACCTAGTGAGTACTGGGGCCAGAACTTGAACCTGAGGGTCTACTTCAAATGCCCTGATGTTTATACAAAGGGATGGGGAGGTGTTCCTTCTGCTTCCATAAAAGTCTGCCAGTTCCCACCACCTCACATGCAGTCCCACATCAAGGTCAAACCCAGGCCTGGTGCACAGAAGGAGCAGTCATCTGTTGAATTAATAAGTAAACAAAGGGCCAAACAACAGCCATGACTCGCCCACAGGCCACCTAACAGAGGGCAATGCCTTTCAGATGGCTCATAGTCACAAGCCAAGCACTAAGGTGTCCATCACCCTCATAATCTCCCAACCCACCGAGTCTGACTTGGCACCAGGGTGTTGCCGTTGAAGGAACTCCCACCACAGAAGGGACACACCCAGCCCATGCGACATTGAGACAAGGCCATGGGCAAGCCCAGCAGGGCACAGCAACCTCCAAAGAGAACCCTCTTCAGGTTGGCCTTGTGCCCAGTGCTACTGCCCTTCCCCAAGCTGGAATAAGAAGGAGCAAGAAAAAAAATGTACCAAGAATATGAATGCTGTGGGGACAAAGACCACCACCCCAATATCATTAGCCAACCCCCTCCTTATGGCCGAGTCTACAGCCTCATGGGACAGAACTCAGAGGGCAGAGACCCGAGTTCTATCTCCAAAAGCTATTAGTGTTCCTATGCATGAGCCTTCAGTGTGTCCCCACACTGTTCTCATCGATTTACATACATGCTCTATTTTCATTCTTACCACCACCGTCCTGAGGCAGCAGAACCCAGAAGTTAAAGTAGTGTTGAGGAGTCACACAGTCTTGGCATCCAGTCCAGTCCTGGCTACTTACTAGCTGGGTGACCTAGTCACTTTCACATTTTTTAATCTCAATAGTCCTCATCCACAAAATGGGAATAATTACAATAATAACAGTAACATCCAGGGTTGGTTTGAGAATGAAAAAAGCTGATGCAAGTAAGTGGTTAAAACATTATCAGCAACAGGACCCCCATTTTGTAATGAGAAATAGAGGCTCAGAGAGATGTGTGGTCACCTGCTCAGGATCAGCTAAAAAGTGGTGGATATGGGGCCAGGCTGGCTTCAGGGCACCAGTTCTCCTCCTTAGGGCCAGCCCAGAGCCCAGATCCTGTAGAAACCCGAAACCCTGTCTTCCCGGAGCCCCCAGCCACGCCCACCCCTTAGCGGCCTGTCAGGTGTAGTGGGAGGGGGTTCGGAGAAGGCCAGGGCCGTGCCTAGACAAGGAAGCAGAGAGGGGCCGGGCCACAGGACTGGGAAAGCATGGCTGGCAGTGGAAGTGTTCGCGGAGGTCTACAAGGACAGCCCCGGAGACTTGGGCGCCTGTGAATATCAGTGGTGAGTGAGCACTGGGGCCCACGGGGTTGACGGGCGCCTCGCAAATGAGGCCCACGAGTCTCAGGAGACCAGGGACTTGTGGAGGACCCTGAGGGGTCCCATGAGGACTCGGGAGGTTTGCAAGGAATCCAGGTCTGGGCGTCACTGGCGCCCTCAGTTCAAGCCATCGGAGCCTCCGCCAGCCCAAGCTGAGCCGCTCTGACCTCAGACGCGCCCCGCCCGGTCTGGCCCTGTTACCTTCCTCGCTAAAGGGCGCGGGGAGGCGGAGGAAGCCGCTGGGGGCCAAGGCCGTTGCTGCCGCCGCCGCGACCCCGCCCTCGCCCGCTTCCCGCCTGGCTTCGGCCCGGGCTTCTGCCGTATGCGCGGCCGTCACCCGCACTGCCATCGCGCCCTCCATGTCGCAACGCGCCGCAGGAAGATGGCGGATTTACGACCGTGTCGTCATAACAACGGGCCGCGCTGAGGCGAGCGAGAGAACGACGAATAGACCATGATGGGATGGGTCCAGGGTGAGTTTGATGGACGGGTGGTGGGGCGGAGCCTGAAGATGTGGCTTAGAACCGCAGAGGCGGGGTCAGGCTTACGCAGTGAGGTGATGGGGTGGGGCTTTTTGGAGAGGCGCAGTTACGGTGGAGCGGACTGACAGGCGGCGGGGCGGATCCAGAGGTAGCCCTGCGGGGCGTGGCTTAGCGGAAGGCGGGCATGGCCATACCTGAGAAATGGAGTGGTGGGGCGTGGCCCGGAGAGATTGGGTACAGTTCCGGAAGCGGCATGATGGTTTGAGAGCCGGGGGACTGGGACAAATCGGACCTGCAGCACCACTTGGCTAGCTCTCAGTTCGTCCTCCGGCCACGGGCGTCCCACCGGGATCCAAGCTGGAGAGGGCTGCTGCCAGGAAGCTGTCCCAGTTCCGACTGGTATCGTCGCCTGTCCCCCGCAGGTGTCAGAACCTCTCTTGATGGTTGCCCAGGTCCTAGGAGAAGAACCGAGTTTGAGATGGCTAACGGGTAGCTTCTCTAAGCCTTTTATTCTTTTGTATGGTTTTTAAGTACACATAAAATTTATCATTAGTGACAGCACATTCACAATGTTGTACAACCATCATCACCATCGGAACAATGTCATTCCAAAAGAAAACCTGTACCCATTAGCAGTCACTCCCCATTCTCCACTCACCCCAGCCCCTGGCAAACACTTTCCATCTCTGTGGATTTACCTTTTCTGGACATTTCATATAAATAGATTTACACATGTGGTCTTTCACATCTGGCTTCTTTTGTTTAGCATAATGTTTTCAAGGTTCATCCAGGTTGTAGCATGTATCAGTACTTAATTTTTATGGATGAATCGTATTCCATAATATGGGTAAATCATAATTTAGTTATCCATTCATATATTTGGTTTTCCACCTTTTCTACTATTGTGAATAGTGCTGCCATGAACATGCTCAGACAAGTTCCTTTTATTCTTTTTAAGGTAATATTCAATTAGATCTTTTAAGCTAAATGCTTTACAGGATTTTCTCGTTGAAGGTACCAATCATGGCATTTTAAAGACGAAGAAACTGAAGCAAAGAACTGATAGGACACTTGCTCAAGGGCAAACTGGAGACTTTAACCCAAGTCTTTCCAGAGTAATGGGCTGGAAACACACAAGGCATGCTTTTTCAGCTGAGTTATTCTCTCCAGTCAAATGTTGGATACCAGAGGCTCAAGTGGATCAGACCTGGTCCCCTCCAGGAAGTCCAAACACAGACACAAAGTCCCAGGCTGAGATTGTCTCCATGTTGGGGCTGCCCAGCCGGGGAACTGAGGACCCTTGGCCTTGCAGGAGCTGGGATGTGTGAGGCATAGATCAGATCACTGGCGATCAGGCTAGGTTAACAATAGGGCTGCTTTCTGCAGGGGACTTGCTCACCATTGAAGGAGTGACAGTCAGCATTTCAGAAGGACCCCTTTGATTCCTGTGCAGAAAAAGGACCTTAGAGCCACAACTGAGGCAGGAAGATACAGGATGGATGGTCTCTGAGAGAGACAAACAGGAGGAGGAGCAAGTGGTGGCTTGTAGAGCATGTGGTATCTGGGGCACTTCTGGGAAGAAAGGAATAGGAGGATACCTCATTTGAGGATGTGCTGAGGAATAATGGGGAAGCCAGCATCAGAGTAGAGGAAGCCACCCAGAGGACTGGAGTGGGAAAGGATTTCAAAGGCAGGACAGCCTGGGTGTGAGCAGACACGAGGAAGAGCTGTCCCAGGGAGAGAGCCTGCTCTGCTGTGTGCTCCAGGGTCTGTGGGACAGAGTTGTTGGGCAGGCCAGGGTTCCTGCCTGGTTTATGCCTTTGGGGTCAGAAAAGAGCATCCTGACCAGTGAGTTCTGGGCCTTGTCTTAGCTGGAGCCCAAGAAGACCAGCAGACACAAGAGTAGACAGGCCTGAGGTCACTGGAAGGCAGAATGGCCAGGGGCAGATAGGGAGACCAGAGTCCTCCTTCTCCCAGATGGCCTCCTTTTTCACCCTGCCCTCAGTATGGGATCTAACTGCACACTGTGTGTTTTATAATCAATACTATGTTTACTTTCTGTGGCCAGAGCCAGAAGTGCACTCTATCACCTTTTATGATGGCTGCTCAGTCTCCATTCCTTGAGTATACTTTTATTTAACCAATCCCATGTTGAAGAATATTTAGGTTGCATCCAATTTTTTTTACCACTTGAGTCCTTTTTCAATGACTCCCATTTTTGCTTAGCTCATCAGAAGTGATAAATCTGTAAAAACTCAGATTCAATGGGTACTTGTGTTTTTTCATACAATTTAAATACATGCAATGCTATTAAGATTAAATAGTGTCATTCTTGTACCACCTATATCCATGCCCCATTTTACTTGCAGTACTGCTTCCTCGTTTGGGGGGGACCCTTTCGCCATCCATTTGCAGGTAAAACTGAGCACCTACTGTGTGTTGGGAATGCATCGTGTTTGTGATGTGCTCCTCTCCCATCTAGATTCAGGGCACCTCACCCAAGGTCAGTCCTCCCCAATAAAGGGCACCAGCCCTTCCTGCCTTCTCCAGGAACTGGTTCACGACCAACTTGTCTCGATACTGACCATTCCATCTCTCCCACTATGCCATCTCAGTCCCTATAACCTACAAGGGATGTTAAACTTAACAAATGCAGCAGAGCTCAGTTTTGAGGTCAGCTGAGTTTAATCCCAACTCTGCAACTGTGTTGTCCAGCTAGTGACTCTCTGTGGCTCAGTTTCCTCATCTATAAATGGAGATACTAATAGCCCCTACCTCTCAGGGCTGTCCTGTGATTACGACAAGGTAATGCAGGTTAAGGAGCAGCACTCAGCGCCTAGATGTTGACTGAGTGCCCAGTAAACCAAGGTAACCTGGCAAGTATCGTACAAACCAGCCCATGGCTGGACAATAGCAGTGTCTCCCATTCTGACCAATGTACCACATACACTGCATGTTTCTGGGAGGTTAAAGCAGGGTTTGTGATCTTTTGTCAAATTCAGTTCTTCCCAAAGTCAGCTTCATCACCAAAACTGAGTAGGAAGACACAGGGAGGAAGGTGTTCCCTTCTTCGGTGGTGGGTGCACCAAGCAGTAACACTTTGCATGCCCTTGTGGGCTATGGCCCTGTCTTTCAGGGGTTCCCAGCAGAGACTAACAGAAACAAGCTGTATGTAAACAAGCAGGACCCTACGGAAACTGAGGTCACTGGCTTTACCTCATGGGCTTGAGGGTGGGGTGGAGGTCCAGAGAAGACTTCATGGAGACCTGGGACCCAAGAGAGGAGCAGGAGTTTGACACACTACAGTTTGGGGCTCTGGGTAGCTTGGCACGGGGCAGGTTCTCAGGAAGCTGGGGTCTGTTGTTTTGCCACTTAGCCATATTGAAAGTAATAACGATAAACATGCACCTACCCTATGAACCAATCAGTGATTCCACTCCTAAGTACAAACCCAAAAGAAATGAGTGCCTATTTCCACAAGTGAGTATGTAGGAAGGAGAACGTTCATAAGGGGCATTTTTACAGTAGCCCCAAAGTGGAAACAATCCAAATGTCCATCAACTGGAGAAGAGATCAACAGGAGTATATTCTTACATTGGCCCAGGTGGCAATTAAAACAAAAACACTAAGAAGGACACATTTCACAAACATTATGTTGCTCCAAAGAAGCAAGACCCAGAAGAGTACACACAGTAAGATCCTTTTTTTTTTTTTTAAATCAGATTTTTAAGATGGTCTAGAACAGGCAAAGGAGGCTATAACTCATTCCATGGTGATAAAAGTCAGAGATAGTTAAGGGAGGAGTGTCCACTATTGACTGGATAGGAAGGCATGTAAGGGACCTTTCCAGAGTGATGGAAATAGTCTGTATCTTGATCTGGGTTGTGTTTACACAGGCGTATAAGTATGTAAAAGTCCATCAAGCTGCATACTTAAGATTTATGCATTTTACTGTATGCTATTCCTCAATAAAAAGTAACGATAACCTAATAGTAACGATTATATCAACTAATTATTGTGTGCTGTTCTAGGCAGTGTCCTTCTCTTAGACCGTAATCCCCCTGCCTTGTTACTCGTTCACAAGACTAAGGCAAAGAAAGCATTTTTGCAAAGGACTAGAAATGAGAACGCAGGCTGAGAAGGACCCCCAGGAAGTCTCTCAGGACTGGCTGACACCGTGTCCGGAACGTGTCCAGGACGGAGGGCACAGTCCAGTGCCCCTCAGGCAAAGGTGAGAATGTGACTTTCTCCCAAGAGGATAGTGCCCCCAGCCCCTCCGGGATCCAGCGGAGAGCTCCACTCTCAAAGCCAGAGAGTAGCCAACTAATCAGCAGCTGGCCTGGCGCGAGGTCACTCGATTAAGGGCTTCCGTCACCTAAGCTGACCACACGCCTCCAATGGGAGAGCTACCCAATGAGCAGCGGCTTTACGTCCTGCGCCATCTCCCCGGCTCTTCCTCAGTGTTTCCGCAGTGAACGCTCCACTCCGAATGCCGGTTGGCTCCCTGCCAGCCAATCACCGGGGAGCCCTGGGCCCAGCAGCCAATGGCCGCGCGCCTTCCTGAGCCAGGCCGCGACGGTTAGCGCTGACCTCCAGCAGCCCGCGGGAGGCGGGGCCGGATTGGTGCAGGTGGCGCCCAATAGGCGGTGCGCGCAAGGCTCGGAGCCAATGAGCACGGCAGGGGCGGAGTGGGAGCAGCGGCGGCGGGCGGCTGCGAGGAGCGGACGGTGGTGGCGGCAGCAGCCGGTCTCGGCGCG